CGGGGCCAGGGCCCTGTGGAGTGTCCTCTTTTTTAAAACCTTAAATATGGTAACCCTATACAAGGAAGCATTTCTGCTCTTTATTGGATAAACAAAAACAAAAAAGAAATCAGTATTGGGGGCATTTTGTCGGTTAAAACCTAAAATCAGAAGACCTAAACATAGTTAAAACCCTGGATAGCAAATACTGGCTCAGTAAAGTCCTTAGCAATTGCAGGGCACACTACTAGTTAAGTTTATCAGGGTTCCTCTTATATCCTATTTAACGCTCTCTTTGCAGAGTAAATAAGATTCTGGTAAGGTGACATTTGATACTCCCTGGGATTTGATACTCCCTGGGAGTATACGTTTTAATTATTTTATTATAGTGTGTTCTTGTTGATGCACAAAAATATCTTTAAATCACATTAAGATTGTGACCTTAATTAATCAAAGCTAGTAAATTACAGGGTTAGGCATGGAGTCCTTTTCAAACTCACTCTTTTGTGCCTAGGTAGAATTGCACTAGCTAGTATGTGTGGGTAAAATCACTTTGCTTGCAGACCCTGGGGCAGATGGGTTAAAGAACAGTGTATTAGATACGACAGATCAGAACATTCAGAGTCCCAAGCTGCATGCAAAACTCCCACTGCAATCTGTACGGAGTGAGGCCTTCACTCTATTGTTAGCGTGTGTGTGTTAATTTCCTTCCTATTCCTAACTGTAGTCTGGAGTGAGAATGAATCCCTGGTCCTTAGAACCATGATTTTAACATATCAGTGATTCGGAAGACGAGCTGCCAAAGAAGACCAAGTTAATGAATGGACTCTCCTACCGCACAGCTGTGGCTTGTCCTTCCCTATGAAACAGAGAGTGACACTTGCTTTATTAAAGGCTCTCATAGCCTAAACTAGCATGCCCATGTCAAGCTTGTTCTGCTGTGTTTCCAGGAAGGTCTGACTGCTCTGCACTTGGCTGTGGAGGGAGGCCACTACGACTGCGTGAAACTCCTCTTGGAAGCTGGTTGTGACGTTAATGCCCAAACCCAGGTGAGCAGGAACGGTCTGAAGATTATTCTGTCTCTGAGCACTTCACGTTTGTGCTACTTATAGCAACTGTGTGGCTGGCACAGCCGCAATGCACACGCTGTCAGCAGTGCACACGCAAGGCTCATCTCCATTCATCTTCTGGAATGCGACTTCGGTTAATAAAGTATCAGTGCAGAGTGGAAAAGCCATTTGCCCAAAGGCTAGGCCTCAAACACTTGAATGTGAGCCGCTTTGCCCAGAAGGTCCCAGCGCAGGCAGTTGCCATTATGGTATTTTGTCTACACGTACCCTGGAATTTGTAGTAAGGTCTCACTTTCAGTCCCAGCTTTGGTGGGTCATTGGCTGCCTGTTATTCTGTCACCAAACACAGACTGACTTGTTCGCTACAGTGGACACCCTGCCTCCACAGGAATTCTCTTAGCCCTGGTCTACACTACGAGTTCAGGTCGAATTAGCAGCGTTAGATCGATTTAACCCTGCACCCGCCAAACGACGAAGCCATTTTTGTCGACTTGAAGGACTCTTAAAATCAATTTCTGTACTCCTCCCTGATGAGGGGATTAGCGCTGAAATCGACATCGCCGGGTCAAATTTGGGGCAGTGTGTGGTAATCTGCCTTCTCAAGGGACAGTGCAGCTGGGAACCAGCCAACAGATGAGGCACTTCTTCAGTGCCAGGCCAAAGGGAGCAAGCAAGCCATCTTTTTGTCATGTAAAGTCTGGCCCACGGTGGGAAAATTGTTCACCACCGATTAAACTGAAGTTCCCTTCATGGGAATGGAATCTAAGGCCTGGTCTACACTGGGAGGGGGTGTGGGGGGGATCAACCTAAGATACGCAACTTCAGCTATGAGAATAGCATAGCTGAAGTCGACGTATCTTAGTTCGACTTACCTCCCGTCCTCACGGCGCGGGATCGACGGCCACCACTCCCCCGTCGACTCCGCTTCCGCCTCTCGCCGCGGTGGAGTTCTGCAGTCGATGGCAGAGTGATCGGGGATCGATTTATCGCATCTACACTAGACGCGATAAATCGATCCCCAATAGATCGATCACTACCCGCCGATCTGGCGGGTAGTGAAGACATACCCTAATAGTGCTGTAGCATCAGGCTGATTGAACAGGTATCGTCTTCCCTCTGAAAACACGTACTGTCTGAGAGAAGGGGACAGCCCATCAGGACAGAGAGATATGAGACTATTACAGGGGAAAAACAACACCCAGCGAAAGATCATTAGGGTTTTCTGAAGGATAAGGGGGCAATTGGGAGATGGCGAAACTCATCTGAATTTTGTATCTTAGAGAAGATTCCCTCTGAACGGGTCAGTCCTGCATGCCTTGTACCTCCCAAACTCCTGATTTCACTGCAGGGCATGAGCAATCGAGGCCATTCAACCAAATAGTTGCATTCCCATGTGAAAGTGGTTATGGCTTTGGTTGTGGAGCTAGCCAGTTGAAATCTATCATCCTAGTATTGTCGTGTCCTTAACTGTGTGCACTGATTTCCTCCCTTGCTCCCCAGAGGAAGGAATGCAGGGAGAACTCTTGGGGTGGCCTCTAAAACAACTGGGATCACTGGGAAGCAGAATGAGCAGAGGCCCCGCTGGAAATACGTCCTTTGGCTTGATAAAAGGTCCCGACTAATATCGGCCGTGTTGCTGTCTTTCTCAGAAAGCGATGACCTGCCTTCATTATGCAGCTCTCCATGGCTATGAAGACATGGCCAGGGTCCTTATTGATGCAAGAATCTACATAGATGCAGTTAATCATGTAAGTCCTATTAAATGGCTTTAAGCATTGATGAACAGATAGCGCCAAATTCCAGCTTTCTTTCGGCTTGGCAAAAAAATACAGGGCTCAATTCAACACTGCAAAAGTAAGTATTGCTGCGAGCCTGTATTGTGGCTAATCACAGCACTCCATTCAGCCAAGGCAAGATTTGTGTGGGGGAGAACATGTCCTCTGATCCTGGGCCCTGCCTGAGAATGCCCCTTGGCTGCTCAGTTATGGAGTGCTTACCATATGGAGGGTCCCTTCATGTCGGGGAGCTAGAACTGGGTAGAAAACTGCTCCCTCAGGCCACCCCGAGTCTGTGTGCACCTGTGCCTAGACTGTCGCCAGCCATTGTCAGGAGAGCTGGGTTCCAAGAAAGCAGAGTTCAGTTGCTGGTTGTGTTTCATATGACAACAGTAGCTGCAAGCTTGTTCCCATGGACTTCAGCAGGAAGACGGCTAAGCCTCGCCGTACATCATTCCCTTGTAGAACCTGGAACAATCCTGGCTGCGGTTTATACGTTAAGCCAAAGGCTGCGTGAATGGAAGTTAAGTTCCAGAAGTAGCCATTGTGTTCTGGCCAAGGTGCCCTGGCTGTTAGGAACCAGGACGTATCTGGCCCAGTGAGCAAAGCAGGCATCCAGGTCAGAGAATGGAAGTGGAGGTGAGAGCCAGAGTCAACTGCCAAGTCCCAGAGCTAGGGGGTTGAGAGGACCAGTAATCAAAGATAAGGATCAGAGCTGGGGTCAGATACCAAATGCCAGAGCCAAGGGTTGAGCCAGAAGTCAGAGCAAGGGGGCAGAGCCAGGATTGGTAGCCAATGGTCAGGAGCAAGGTCAAAGGGCAGGAATTGGAGAGCGACAAGGATCAGACACGGAGCAGGAGCAAGGCGGGAGCTAGGGGTGAGGAGCAGGTCAGGAACAGGGCTGGATCAGGATTGCAGGAGGCAGTCAAGAGCAGGGGCCAACGTCTGCACAGCTGCTCAGACAGCCCACATGGCTCACTTCCTGGCGTAGGTAGCGGGTATGAGCCAAACGGGCAGCTGCAGGCCTTGGGGGCTCTGATTGACTTTCCAGGTTTAACAAGATGGTGCTTTGCCCATCTCCCTTAGTGCTGACAAATGAGTGTCAGCAAGCCATGGCCCCCACAGCCCCAGGATGTAGACCTGCATCCTTGGATCCTTACATTGTGGGTGAGCTAGACACCCCAATGCCTTTTCCCCCTCAGATGCAAGTAATGCACCTTCTTCCCGCAGCAAAATGCATCAGCTGTGCACATTGCAGTGCTGCAGAACTTCCCAGCCATCGTTAAACTCCTCATCGACACAGAGTGCAACCTGGACATCCCGGATAACGTAAGGCTGGGAACCCTTCCATCTCTGAGCCGTGGACCACATTAACCGAGGTTTTAAATCAGCCAGTTCTGAGCAGGGGTGGGGGAAAAGAACAACGCTTTTAAATGTGGAAAACGTGGACGTTCAGCTCCTGAAACATGAAAATGGCTGAATTGTTCACATTTTTCCAAGCAAACGCAGGGCCCAACCCCGCAAGTGCTCTCTGTGTGTGGAATTCCTGTTGAGTTCTTTGGGTGCTCGATACACAAAGTTTGCCGATTCAGCCCCTCACCTGAGCTGTACACAAAGAGAGAGAATTTCAGCACAGAAGGATATTTTGAGACAGTTAAGAATGACTGAAAATGGGGGGTAAGGATGGATTTGGTCGGCTCTCAGTCAAAATTGTGGTCTCACTAATGACGAGCCTGTAACACAAAAAGATCTGTATAACCTAGCATTTGATTTTAGTTATTATTCATTCTACTCTTGCAGTTATCTCAATGCACGCTTGCTTGCTTCATGCCTGCATCAAATTGCCACATTATTTTGTTTGGTTTCTTTTAAATTTCCTGGGATTTTCCAGAAGTCCTTGAGTATGAAAGAAAAAAATCACAACAGTGGTATCCATATTGACCTGCAGCCTTACGTGCCATAGAATGTAGTGGCTATTGGCTCTGGCTCCAGTTGGCCAAGGTGTTTTGTTGCTGCTGTGGTCATTGCCTATGGACGGCACTTAGAGCAGATTCTCCATTTCCTGGGCATCTCTGCTTGATTCACAGGGTTTAAAAAATTTCCTTCCAATAGTCCCAAAGGTGCTTTGTATAATACAACAAGTTCATCCATCTTTAGGCTGAAATATGTACCATCGAGGACTTCCTAGGGCTGGTACCAGACCAGGCCATTGTTATTTCTGAATGGCTCTAGCAGTTCACTGTGGGCCCATTCCAGTTGATGGGAGAGTTACATTGACATTGAATGGGCATGAGGGAGAACAGAACGTGCTCCTCTGTACACACTTGGCATTGTCTCGCAGTAGAATCATAGAATATTAGGGTTGGAAGAGACCTCAGGAGGTCATCTAGTCCAATCCCCTGCTCAAAGCAGGACCAACCCCAACTAAATCATCCCAGCCAGGGCTTTGTCAAGCTGGGCCTTAAAACCTCTAAGGATGGAGATTCCACCACCTCCCTAGGTAACCCATTCCAGTGCTTCACCACCCTCCTAGTGAAATAGTGTTTCCTAATATCCAACCTAGACCTCCCCCACTGCAACTTGAGACCATTGCTTCTTGTTCTGTCATGTATTGTTATAAATGGCCATATTTCTTCCCATCATTCCTGGCCAGCATTTCCTCCCAGGTATTTCATCTTGCTTCTGCTTTCTTTTTACACAGAGGCAGCAGACACCACTCCATATCGCTGCAGAACACGGGAGACAAGACATAGCTGAGATGATTCTCATAGCAGGAGTTAACCTGAAGTTAATTGATAAGGTAAACATCCTTAGGGATGGGATAGATGCATGGAGATTTGGAAGAAAGACGTGTTTTGTTTGATCTCAGCCCATGAGTAAAACTGATAGTGTTATTAACATACAAACATTTTCAAGGAATAAACAGTTAAAATAATGCTTTTTTATTGGGGGGGGGGTAGGGTGTGTTCAATTTTGAAGGGGATGTGAATGATTCTTAGAAAAGTACAGGGTAGTTCACTCTTTGCTATGCAAAGTTCTCAGACCTGACTCCTGCTACTGTAGGGTGACCAGATGTCCTGTTTTGAAAGGGACAGTCCCATTTTTTTGGACTTTTTCTTATATAGGCGCCTATTACCCCCCACCCCCGTCCCGTTTTTTCACAGTTGCTATCTGGTGACCCTATGCTACTGCCATATATTTTCACTTATACTAACCGAACAGTGTTATTCTGTAGCGATCATAAATAACAAATTATAGGGATTATAGTGCAAAGAAACATTTTAATGGGTAAAAAAATAAAAGATCCAGTGTGTGTAGATCTGAAATACCCAGATCTGAAAGCTCTGCTTTCTGGGGAGAAAAAAGAAACCCCAGAACTCCAATTAACTAAAAGAATTTTAAGAGCACCAGGCAAATTCTGTTCTTTGTTCTGAGAGTGTAGTTGGGCATATTTGCATATGTGGGGGGAAAACTCAAGAGCATTCAGCCACAGGTTAGTATCAGAGCTACAATTCGCTATGAAGTTAAACAGCAGCACGTTTTATAAACAAAAACCAAATCCAATGACTTAGCCTTTGGTACTGAACCAAAATAAATGTTTCTTGTTGCCACCATCTGGCAGCTCTTGGAAGTAGAGCAGTGGCTCTCAACCTTTCCAGACTACTGTACCCCTTTCAGGAGTCTGATTTGTCTTGTGTACCCCCAAACTTAAAAACTACTTGCTTCCAAAATCAGACATAAAAATACAAAAAAGTGTCACAGCTCACTAGTACTGAAACATTGCTGACTTTCTCATTTTTACCATCTAATTATAAAATAAATCAATTGGAATATAAACAGTGTACTTACATTTCAGTGTATAGTAGATAGAGCAGTGTAAACAAGTCATTGTCTGTATGAAATTTGAATTTGTACTGACTTCGCTAGTGCTTTTTATGCAGCCTGTTGTAAAACTAGGCAAATATCTAGATGAGTTGATGTACCCCCTGGATGACCTCTGCGTCCCCCCAGGGGTACGCGTACTCCTGGGTGAGAACCACTGAACAAGAGGAAGACACTGCACAGGGAAAACGTGCTTGCTAAATTGAGGACATTTTATCCCCAGTACAAAATGAGAACTCTTCATTACCAAAAAGCCAATCCCAACACAGAATTCCTCTCCTGGTAGGCTGCATTTATTTCTGATAACTGATAGATACATAGATAAGATAGATAGATAGATGATATGTATTCCAGTCCCATTCCTCTCTATCTATGCACAGTTCAGACAATATACTGGTCATACATTAATAGTCAAACTGACCTGTGTCGTTTTCTAGGAGATGGTTTCTGTTCATACACGTACTGCAGAAATTTGTGGGATTACACGGATCAGTTCAGATTCATACACCTCGGTGAATCTGTTGGACAAAGGGACGTAGTTCGTCTCAGACTTAACATGTAGTACTGAGTTGTGCCCTCGGAGACACGGGTGCAAGCGTTCGGCACTCCGTGAATGTCTGTAAAGTGCTTTGAAGCCCCCTGTTCTCTAAGTGGTGAGATCAGAGACATTTAGGGCCAAGTTGTGGTTGCTCCTGCCTGATGCAGTGGGGAGAGGGCACGCAGAGAGGGCATGGTTGCTGTCGTAGAGAGGCATAGGGAACCTGGTTCTGGGCGGGGCACAAGGCAATTAGCAAAGCTACCACAGCTCCCAGAGCAGAAGAGAAGGCGAGCAGTGAGTGGCATTCAGCATCTAAAGGGACAGATGACCGGCTGGGTTGGGAGAGTGGCTAGAACCTGCCCCATGCACTTAGTGCTCAGTGGTGCAGCATGTGCCATTTTGAGACTCCCTCTAGCACCCCCTGCAGGCACTAGGCTTGCAATGCACCCAAATCCACCTTGCCTATATCAATGATTGCTGACCCCTTAATTTGGCATCTGTAAACCCTGCTCCTGTAACAACAGGTAAAAATAATTATGCTTTAATCTCTTAAAGAGCTAGGAATAAAGTAATGGCAGATCACATTTGTCTATCACCAGTAGTAATTGGGGTGTTTCAGCTCCCACATATGATGGAAGATCCATAATCACTGCAGATGGATGAAATGGAAGGATGGTCCAATGGTTAAGGTGCTGGCCTAGGACCTGGGTTCAAGTCCCAGCTCCACCCCAGACTTCTTCTGTATCCTCTTAGACGTCACTTTCGTCTTTCTGGGCCTCAGTTTCCCATCTGTAAACTGGGGATAATAGCATAATCCCTACCACAAAGGTACATTAAAGACTGGGAGGTGCTCAAAGACTATGACGACGGGGGGAGGGGTCAGATTAGTCTCTAAAATAGAGAAATGGCGAATATACATTTTGGACACAATTGTTCTTTTTTTTTTTTCCTTCTTAATTTCAGCAAGGAAAAACATCCCTGGATGTAGCTGCCCGGGGTAACCATATCAACTTGGCGGACATGATTATCAAAGCGGATCGGTTTTACAAATGGGAGAAGGTAGGCAGCATACACTGAGCCGAGTATCCTTAAAAACATCCTTTATACGAGACAGTTCTCTGTGCTTATCGGTACGAGGGGAAGAGAAATGCAGACGATCCCATGGCAAAGAGCTCTCTGTTTTCATCGTCCACTTAAAAAACCAACAACAAAGCAGCCCACAACTGTACCACAGACTTTGCTTATTAATATAGGAGTCCCTGCTGTTAAATATCCTGGCTGCATTGGGAGGAAGGGAGGCCGGATTTTCACAGATATTTAGTTACCTAAAGATCAGTGGGAGTTTATAAAGCACTTAAGCAGGTTATGCGTCTAGCCCCCATTGAAAGTCAAAGGGAGTTAGATGCTGTCACAACTCCAGTCAAGCGCCCCCTCCTGGCCACTCACCAGACTGCGGTGAGGGGATCCCACCAGTGAATCCCCCCCCGATGTTTTAAGCCTCTGGAGTCTGAATAGATCCCAGGCGCTGTTCCTATCTTGGGGTCCCTAGGCACGCTCTTGGGATCATCTACCCAGCAGCCCCTCCTAAGAGCCGAGACCTCACAGTCCAACTGCTTAGTCTCTGGAACCAATGCTGACCCCCAAGATATGCTCATAGCGTAACACCTTCTCCCAAAACTCCTGCTGCGTGAGCATTCTGGCTCTAGTTTACTGCTCGCAGGGACATGTGCTAGGTGTAGCAGATAACGTACAGACACTCTGCACAGGATCCTAACACATTATTGCTCTTTCTTTAATAGCACGAGGCACACACAGTTCTAAAAAAATAAATCCTACCAGGAATGTCCTGGAGTCTCCAGGAATTAAAGATGAATCTTCAATTAAAGATTGTCATGTGATGAAACCTCCAAAACTACAGCCAACTAAAATCGGCAAACCTAGCACCTTCTTGCCTCAGTTTCCCCACCACTCCAGAGTCTTCTGGGAGATGGGGTCATCCAGTGTCTTCCTGTTGCAGCGTATGGCTTGGGTTCAGAAACACAGAGCCTTCTCCCGCACCTCACTTCTCCCTTGGCCAGTCTGTCACCTTCCTTCTACCTGCCCAAAACTTCCTGTCTCTCTCTCTGTGAGTCTCCCCTCCACCCCCCATGAGTTATAACTGCCTGCTTTGTCAGCCCTGTCTCCAAGCTGGAGAATTTCAGCTCTCTCCACTCCCCTGCTTCCTTCAGACCAGAGGAGGAAGTATCTTCTCCCAATTTAAACAAACCCATTGGCTCAAGGTGCTTCACTCTGAGTAGACCATAGCTGAGTTCTAATGGCCTAGCATTGTCCCTGGTCTGGGAGGTAGGCTTATCAGCATGGTAGATACACACCGACAGAGGGGCATTCCTGATACCGCAGCTTTCATAGCAACACGGTATTATCAGCCAGAGTTCTTCAGTTGTAAATAGGTTCCCCAGATCACCATCCCAAGCACCTAACCTGTTTAGGCCTTCTTGGAAATCCCAGCAGGAGTTCTTGGAGGATGGTCTTGCCGTGAAGGCCTAGAGCCAGGCTATCGGATTCTATTCCAGGCCCTTAGACAGGCTGCCTGTGTGGCCTTGGGCAGTCATTTACCCTCTCCATTTCCTCATACTACTTGCCTACATCGCAGGTGGTTGAGAGCTTTCTCTCATGTTACTGAAGCATGTTATTCAAGAGCGTCAGACAGAAGGCTCTGTAGAAATGCAAATTGTTACCTACATGGGCTTCTGTAGCCAGGATGCCATTAACAAGATGTATTTAATTGGGCCAGGATGAAAAGGACAGTTAGTAAAACAGAAACGTGCTATGTCAGAATGAACTTAAACTGCCCCAGTGGCAAGGCTGGGGGATATTACAGACCGGCCATTACAAACAAAAGCATGGTAGGTCTATTACTGGAAGAGCCCATGGGCGTTACTACTGTTGCTGCTAACAATCCAGTGTTAGTTTCCTGTTGTCATCAGAACGTCAGCAAGTGGAACATGATAGCCTATAATCGGGTAATGCGAACAGAGGGCATAGCTCATTGTTCAGGGATTCATTTTTCAGGGTTGTGGTGTTTTTTTGGGGGGGGGGGGGTGTTTTTTCTCTCAACCTAAAAGAAATGTGAAGCCTCGCACTGAAACTCCTATTTTAACATCGTAGGACAATCTCAGCAGTGACTCCGACTCCTGGGTGGCAAAACACTTAACCTTTAAACAAGATCACAGGCTGGAAACGCAGCACATTCGCTCAGTGATGTGGAGATTAGCTACTAAATACCTCAAACCCAACGAATGGAAGAAGCTTGCACATTACTGGAAATTCACTGATGCACATATCAGAGCCATTGAGCAGCAGTGGGCAGGTATAAACCAGATGGTGTCTCATTTACGCCAAGCTTTTCCATCCTTTTCCTTTAATCTATATATTGCTAGTAGATAATTCTCCAGCAGTGGCACTGGGCCACATGCTAAGGAAGCCACCTGGTTCAGATGGCGCAGCCACAAGATTGCGTTTGAAATGCTTTATAAAATAAATAGGAAAAATGTGTCCTCACCTGAAAATGGCTAGTAGGAAAACCCACAGCTCCCAAACAAGGGGTCTGCTGCCTCTCCCTGGCTGCTATAGAGAAACCCCAAGCCTAGGAGATCTTGTCCCTAAAGGGAAACTTGATTGCTGTAACTGACAAAGCAAGACAGGTCTGAACACCTTCCTACTGAGTGGGCATTTTCAGGCAAGCGGATAAACGTTCCTTATTCTTCTGCACAGGGAGACCACGGACTTTAACCAGTGAGATTTTATTACCAGTGCCCTGGTCTTATGGGGAGCCAACTTCCACCAAAGACTCTGGCCCCACTGGGCCAGTTTGCCCTTCGCTTGCCCCTCTGGCAATTAGGAGCAAATCTAGAGAAGAGCATTTGGAGGGCCACCAAAGAGAAACTCAGGACCATACACCTGCCCTCCTGGGGAACAGGCAGTGCTTTCCCCTTTTGGCTCAGCACAGAGCACCATGGGGGCAGTTAGAAGGGTATGTCAGGACAGCCTGCATTCTGAGCTTGGAAAGATCCCTGTTTGCAAATCACAGCTCTAAGTGGAAGCATGGAAGAGCCCAAAGAGTCATAAGTTTGCATGAAACATCCTCTGCCAAATTCAGTCATTTACTTGCAGGTGGCTTTCAGAAAACTTCCAGTTCAAGGACCTGGGTTGCTATAACAAAGTTACATGAAGTTCCCCTACCCCCCCCCCCTCTTTTTTTTTGGCAGCCTATTCCATTAAATCTTTGATATTACTTTGGATGTGGTACCAAGGCTTTTAAGAGGCCAGATTTCTTGTTGAAGTCAGTACTTGGTCCTGCTAGTGAAGGCAGGGGGCTGGACTCAATGACCTTTCAGGGTCCCTTCCAGTTCTAGGAGATGTAATATATGGAGATATCCTACCTGGTGTGAGTGCAGGCAGCTGTGAGTCCAAATGGTTTAAGAAGTTGGAGTTGCTGTTTAAAGAGCAGGTTTAATTTCCATATCAGATTGCTTCAATTAAAAAAAAAAAAAAGTGTGGCCGGGCAGCAAATAGGGCCAAATTTACCCTCACATCCATTCACTCAATTCCCACCACAGTTGAAGGGAGTTCCACGTGTATCAAGTCAGAATTTGATGCAGTCTACGGACACCATACAGAGTGAAATACAGTTTCATCCATGTATCATTCTTACCAGGTACTAAAAGCTACAGGGAGCATGGCCACAGAATGTTGCTTATTTGGCTTCATGGTGTGATCATGGCAGGAGACAATCCAATCAAAGGACTATATGAAGGCCTGGTGGGGATTTGTAGAAGAGACTTAGCAGGTAACAATCCATCACTTTCCTCTTAATACAAACTTAGCACCATTTGAATTAACCTTTTAATACTTTATTTAATTTCTGTAGCTGTTGCATAATGTAAGTATAACCAGTCCTTTTTCTAAATACAGAGTCTTAAACTATTAACAGCCTCAAACTCCTCTAGTACCTAGGAGGTTGTCTTTTCCCCCTTGTTTTATGGAGTACACACATTTACACATACTGCTGGGCCATTTCTCCTGCCGCTTTGTACCTCCCATTCATCAGAATCCTTTACTAGAGCAAAAATACCCACACCCAGACATGTAGAACCTCCTTTGTTAAGTAACTAGGATTAAAAAAACAGACTGAGTAGACACCCCTCAGAGTAAAATAAAAAAAATTTAAAAAATTCAGCGCTGATGTCAAGCTGCCACTCAGCACAAAGGTTCGAGTGATATTTTTCATTCCGCTTCCCCTAATGGGTGAGAGGAAAAACACCTATGATGTTTGTTTTACAGAAAGTATTAGGAAAAAGGCAAATGCAGAATCCACTTCTCCAAGGAAGTGTACAGCAATGTAACGACTGAAGGGGAAATGACTGTACGATGCTGCCTCTGCTGACTTTTTCTTAGAACTACAGCGATTGAACCTGAAGCATTCAACTCTTCACCAAAAAGTGGCCATAAAACTTTTAAGGGCTTCTTGTCATGACAAGTGGCACTTCTGCTGCTTCCACTTGAGATCAGGTAAACTAGGAGACACATCAGCACATGCTAATAATTTTAAAACATCTTTATATCAGTGTGGGGTTTATTTGCTGTTTCATAGATGCTGGTGACTATAATACAAGCTAAGTGAAAAGTCTCATTTGTGATACTGTGACTACGTTTCAATCAGGACTCTGATATTCTTTTACTGTAATTTGTTTACATCTCGTTTTTTGTATGTATAATTTTTTTTAATTGTCTTTTATAAGTTACAAAGGGGAGAACCTTTCTATTTAACATGTAGTAAGATGTGTTCTTTACCCAAACATCTTCAGTTTTTGTCCATGTCACCTGTGGTTTACTGTGGGAGGAATGCTCAATTGTTTAGCTGCTGGTGTCGTTACATTTGTTGGGGGGGGGGGTGTTGGGGGTGTTACCTGGACTGTATTAAAGAAGGGATCAGATTTTGGATCCCAAAGCCTCGACAGTTTCCCATTAGCTGGCATTTGAAAAGCTACAAATTCCATAGTCCTGTGCAATTGAATGTTTGTTAGTTGCGCTTTCCAAGGTTAAAGTCATACTATAGATTTGAGCCATCTTCACACAAATACACAATACAGTTTTGTTAGAGTCAATACTTTTCCAATTCATTTTACCTTATATAGATGAACCACCTCTACCTTTTTGTGCTCTAAAAGTGCACAACTCAAAAGCGAGAGGGAATTGAAGAGTCAGTTCCCCTCCTTGGCGCATAAACATCTGTATATTCCCTAAAGGGGAAAATGTCAGCATACAGGCTAACATGTTATCGCCACACACGTAGCCTAGCCTTGAGTGCCAGTACGTGGTTTACTCGATTTCAGTACGGAAGAGGTAATCAGCTGTTATTTATACCAACCCTCACAAAGAGCACACTTTTCTTAAACACTCAGAAATTTGTCATGTGAAGTTTTGTATTTTTTACAGTGTTTAAGGGGGAAATAAAGTCTGTTCTCCAATAAACTAGAATATTTTTCCTGTAAGGTGATGGGTGATTTCTTTCTTAGTTCAATCTGTGTTTTATAAAATGCTTTTTAAAATTCACATCCACATGCTGAAAACACTTATCCAACCCAATTAAATTGGAATTCACTATGATTCAAGCGGTTTTACTGTTCAATAAACACCCTTAAAGCAAATCTAAGCAGAATTTAACATCCTCCAACACACCTTTTCTGATGGTAGCACTGCACTTTGATGCGATTTACATCCACATGCAGCTCTGAAAGAGCACGTTAAGCTACAGTAATTCTATTTAGTCAATTAGAAAAAAGCCACTTGTTGAAATTGAAGTTTTATTGAAAACCATTGTTACAGCTAGCAAGTTAAAAACTGTAATGCTTTATATTTCAGGTAGAAATAAAGTAACTAACTTGCAACACAACTTATGAAGCAAATAAGTGATGTCAACATTGGCACTTCAGCATTTTTTAATCCAAATATTCAACAAAATTATAAATGAGCTTTTAAGTACACAACCTGCATGTGCAATATATACAGCTAAATAAAAATATAAAAAAGAAATGGGGTTCTGTTTTAAGAACGTAGTGGTGAAGACTTTGGTAGCAAAATGTATCTCAATTCTTTAAAACTGGAGTCTTCCCAAAGGTACTTCCTTACATTCAAAGACCAACTTAAACCAAAGTATCCTGTTACACCGCTGTAGATTACCGTTCTCGGTTGCATTACACTGAATATCATCAACCCTGTTGGAGTTACACAGTGATAACCGGCTAACGTAAGAAAAGGCAGATTGGAAACAGCTGATTATATACAGGAAGACAACCAGATTGGTTCACTGCTTTAACTGATTGTGAGAAAGCTACTGCTGCTCTTGTTCACCGCTGCTGTGAAGCTTGATTTTCTGGACTTCTAGTTCTTCTGCACTAACCATAGAAGGATCAATGGCTGCATATCGTGTACCATGGAACTGCAGTAAGTGTATCTGTTGGACATGAAAAGGAACTCTGAAGCAGTAATACAGAATGATGGGTAAGGTACCAGGTAAGAGGAAAGCAGCACGCCTCCCGCCAGTGAAATCCAGGAACCAGTCCCCATTATAGTTCAGTCAAAACATAGCATTAGCTCATACACCAACATTTGCTCCACCTACACAGAACACATTTGCTCCACCTACACGGAACACAAAAGCTCAGCGGGAGTGCAGCGATATCAGGCACATGAAAGCCAACCTCAAACCCAGGACCAACAAGTGTGGCTGCTGTGTAGCCCCGACCCCCCTGCACCAGTTGGGTTCAGTGTCTGCAGCTCCCAAAGGTTAGGGAACAGCAGCAGATGAGGGTCTGAGAAAGACGGGACTCTGCTGGGACATTTCTAAACACGTTGCTAGGAAAGGTTTGAATTTCAGAGGCTTACTTGGATATAGACATTGACTTCAGCGCTTCTGCAGAGATAAGGGAAATTGCCTCCTGTTTTAAGGTGAGCTCTTCTGGCATTAGGGTACAGTTTGTACATTTCTTCCTTTGCTTCAGTTGAAAGTGCACTCTGATCAAACACCTTGAAAACAATCACAGAGTAACTCTGAAGCCAATCAAGTTTTTTGTAGCTATTTACCATAGCATACTAGAATTATTCTAACAATCACCTCACTGCTTTCTAGCTTCGTGATGTGATATTTGCCCGACAGTGAAATCCATCTCCAAGAATAAAGCCCACGGTCTTACTGTATAAAATAAATTACACATTTTTTGATGCTTATTTGACAGGTGCGAGGCTTTGCCCTCCAGTAATAAGCTTAGGAGTGATTTCCTATATTGTTGACATCTGCCTCAGTTATTACAGTTTGACCTCAATGTGACACTGAAGTTAATAGGGATAGAGAACAATTGTATCTTTAAGAGCACCTAACATTTTATAGGCATGTCATAATCCAGAAAATGGAAGTCATGCTGCCCTAGTTTATAGCACCATGAGCTCAGACTGTACTGTGCACGATACCCCAGTGACATTTTACAGTTAATTCATAGTGTCGCATAATGAGTAGAAAGCAACACCTAACATGAAATTAGATCTTCCACATTTTGTTCTACAAAGGTGATCAAGTATTACAGTTGCTCATGGAATAGCCAAACCCTACTCAATCCAGCCAGGTTAAACAATAGGCTAAAAGGAAGAAAGAAAAAAAACTTACGTCCATAATAGTTACAGGAATGTCTCGAATTTTATGAGGTTCCACATAGGAGTTCTGGCAGTTGAGGGTAAGTCTCGATGCTAACTCACTCTGGCCCAGGCTTTCCAGCTGTCAATACATGAAAATAAAGGCTATGAATTCAGTTTCACTTGGGGAGGTTTATGGTAACATAGCTGAAGAAATGGGCACAACCCAAATTTTGCTAAGGAGCAGGACTTAGGTTAGGTGTCCAGTTGCCCCAAATTTGAGTGGCACTGCAACCCCATGCACGAGGTTGCCACAACACTCACTCAGATTTGGTCCATCATGATGGGGGACACGGAGGAGGGTGGCCAGGCCAAATTTGAACAAATGACTTTGCACCCTGGTGCATGGGGTCACAATGCCACTCATTTGTTCTGGCTGCCCCTCCATCATCTGGTCTGGGGGTGGGCGGCCACCTCTCCTCCCCCGCCATCATCGCACCCCTGCAAAGAAATATGGTGGCTACTGGTTGTTTTTTTTAAAAGAGCCCTGACCACTACTTCCCTAAGAAGGGCTTAAATTGCAGTTTTACATCTCTACAATATTCCCTTCCAGGCATGAGAGGCAGACTTCATCGCATCCTCCACTACATAATGACAGACGTCCTGTAGGGCCTCCAGTGTCCCAGGTACTGCTTCTCTAGAGGACGCCAGGGAGTCAATACACTCCATCTACATTAGCCTTTTTCTCCTTAATGGAGCTTGAACTTAACCACAGGTAGCTAGGCTAGAAACACTGTTTGCCCGGCATCTTGAAAACATCAAAAAGAACAGGCGTACTTGCGGCACCTTAGAGACGAACACATTTATTTGAGCCTAAGCTCTCGTGGGCTACAGCCCATCTCATCGGATGCTGTAGCCCACAAAAGCTTAGGCTCAAATAAATGTGTTCGTCTCTAAGGTGCCACAAGTACGCCTGTTCTTTTTGCGGATACAGACTAACACGGCTGTACTCTGAAACCTGAAAACATCAAGTGTTCCTTAAGGAACGGAGACAAACGAGGCAGATCCTTAGCTGGTGTAAACGGTCATAGCTCCATTGAAGTCAATAGAGCAATGCAAAGTAACACTAGCTCAGGGTCTGCCACTTATTGTTTATCCTTTATATTAGGTAAGTAAAGATGGCAGCAACGTCCCTACGGCATATACATTATGCTATCTCTAGAAGCAAGGTTAAACATGCCCAACGTTACCAGAATTAGACATCCAAGACTCACTTACCCTATCAACCATGAAATCGATTCCATCGGCCATTACAGGATCTACAGGACCAGAAGCAAAGTTTCCAAGAACAATTTTCTTCAGCATAAATGCAGGCATTAGCCAAAAGCTGAAATATAAACATGAGATCACATGAATCTCTTCAAGTTTAAAGACCTCCAAAAATTAAAAGGTTGTGTCTTCTGGTTTCTCCTCTCCCCCCCTCAAAAAAACATTTGAGTTTCATTTCAAATCAAGTGGTTTGTGCAGGACTTCACTAGGGCAAGCATTACATAAGCTTTTAAAATAACAGATAGAGAACTGTGTCTATAGGAATAGAATACACTGAAAGTTACTGACTTTATCCTGCGAGAGTGTATTTTAAACGTATTCTTCACCACACACTGGTTTCATCTGAGCTTAATATACCCACTAGGCAAAACAAAGATCTAGTCTTGACTCAGTCTTTCCCAAGTCTGATTATATCAGTCATAAAAGTTTAAAGACAAAAAACAAAAACTTCTCTCCAATGTTAAAATTCCAGGTTTCAAAATCCTGATTGTGAAAGTGTGCACCTTCCTTGTAACATGGCTTTTTAAAGTATTTTGCCACCTGTTTTTCCATTGCTTGCTCAGATTACCAGCAAGTAATCTGTTTTCGAAACTACATTTGTCTAAAACTCTGACATTTTACTATAAAATGTAATAGCGGTCAAAGACTGACATTACATTTTATCAATATTTCTCACCTGTTCGCAGTCCATGTCTGGTTAAAGATGGAAGTGTCACTGAAAGCATTACACAGGATCAGAGACTGAACTCTGGGGGATTTGTGTGTATACTCAGCAAATTTTTGAGCCAAAAAGCCTCCCAAAGAAGCGCCAAAAAGGTGAACCTAATTTAAAACCAAACACAAGTACATATTATGTAACAACTTAAATCTATCCTGAATATCCCTGCATAACATATTACAAAAACATAACATTACAATGTTATTCCTTTCCTTGTATTCTGACA